GCTCGTGGTTTGTGAGTTCGAGCCCTGCATTGGGCTCTGCGCTGACAGCATGGAGCCTGCTTGGGATTCTCTGTCTCCCTCTCCCTCTCTCTCTGCCCGCCCCCCAAATATAAATAAACTTTGAAAAAAATAATAAAATGGGTAAGGGAATAAAAAACAAGTTTCACATGTAACCCCTCTTTCTTCAGCGGCACAGAAAAGCTCCTGACGGACGCCATGCAGAGATCAGGGAAATTAGAGGAAGGTTTTGATCATTTCTGTAACTAGGTAAAAGCAGAGCAACTCCTCTCACAGACCGTCAATGTGGGATAGTAAGTGTGGGAGCGAAGGAACAGTACGAGAGGAATGCTTATTCGCGAGAAGGAGATGGGGCTCTGTTGTCTTTTGCCACTTCTCTTGCCTGCAGCGTAGGGCTGCAGTGCTGGAGAGAAGTCAGAGCGTGTACCTCCCCTGTAAAACCAGACTGTAACTAAAGAGCTCGGGAAGACTTCCTGCTGAGATGGGCAGCAGCTGAGCTCTCCAAGCCTGTGGTGGCTGAGGGTGATGGCAAACACATTGCCAGGAACGAGGTGCCTTCTTCCAGCTAACCTTAAGCAGAGCAAGGGCGGTTTGGCTCCAGGCCAACAGCCATCAAAAGGTGTGATAGTCACCTTTGCACGTATCTGGATTACAGGGTGAAGGATTCCTACGTGTACAAAGACAACATTACTATTTTGTTTTATTTTAAATTAGTTGAGTAAATAATTCCTTTGCATCAGTTTTCTGGTAAGCCCTCACATCTTCTCTGTAGGTGTCCATCTTCAGAGACTAAAATATAGTCATAGTTGTACAGGTAACTTTAGCTGCTCTGTCACCCCATCTTTATCATAAGGAACAGTCTCCCGACTTTAAGAATTCTTTAACTTAAGAAGTCCATATCTGAGCTCATGGAATATTTCTTCGTTTTATCATGACGGCTGACACTAGACAGAAAGATTCTTGTAGGTAGACTCTGTCCAAACCATCTTTTATCCACAGAACCTAAAGCCTAGCCTGACATTCCCCTAGATACGGTGACAAGAAAATGGCGAGTGGGAAGGGAACATAGAAGGGAGACCCATTTGGGGATAGAATCCTCTTGCCCAAAGGCGTTCGTAGAGCGGCACAAATCAGGAGCTTAAAATGTTAATTTGATGAACAAAACCGGTCTCTGGGAGATGGCTGCCAACTTCTACCAGAGGAGATGCCATTGATCTAAAGACTCCAGATTTTGTGTGAAGCAAGAGTACCCTGGGTTGGGAGACATGTGTACCCCTCTTCTCCTGTGCCCGGGTGAGGCTGGGGTGGCAAGGAGCTGGGGAGGAAGCTGTCAGACTTCCAGGAGATCCTTCCTGTCTCCAAGCCCACGCATGGTCCACCTACCACCACAGCCACGGCAGCAGCCACATCTGTTTTGCTCCTTCTGCTGCTTCCTATTCTCTTCCGGGTTTGTAAACGGCTTTCAAATGGGAGCAGCTATGAGTCTGTATGTGCCTTCAGCTGTTTCTAATTCTCTCCCAGGCCCACTCTCTCCCAGTAAATGACACATTGTAGAAGGTGTTTTATAGTTCCACTTGTTAATAGAGCCAGACAGTTCTGTAACAAAACCTAGCACAGCAATCAAGGTTAAAACACAAAATCATATAATAGGAGTAAGATAAATAGAATTTCATCTATAAAAGAAGGAGCTGGACCATCTAATTTTTAAAGTACCTTCCAATTCTAAAATTCTAACCTATAAAACAACATTTCCTCAAAGTCGAGGTATATGTTGTTTTGTGCTTGGGCGGTTGGAACACTCCCCTGTTAATGGAGTTAGCTTGTCTTCACAGATTCTACTATAAACAAGTGAATGAATGATAAAGGGATAATTGAATCTGCTCCTTTTCTCTGTGCCAGAGATTCAGGACTGAATGTCTATATAGGACTCCACATTGCGTTTAAATATACATTTTTTTTAATGTGATAGTGTGAGCCGGGGAGAGGGGCAGAGGGAAGAGAGATCTTAAGCAGGCTCCACAGTCAGTGTGGACCCTGACGCAGGGCTCAATCCCACATCTGGGATCCCCATCTGGGATCATGACCTGAGCCAAAATCAAGAGTTGACTGCCCAATTGACTGAGCCACCCAGGCGCCCCCTTAGTTATTTTTTTCTTTTACTTATCCTTGTGTTTAAAAGATAATAATTGTCAGTAAATAATTGCAGGCTGCACTATCAGATAAAATATTTTTCTTTAAACGTTCCTTATTAATGAGCATTTTCTTCCTTCTTTTTAGATGAGAAAAAAATTCTGAATGGGTATCAAGGCCTTAGTTTAACTCAGTTAATGAAAAATTAACCCATCATCCTTTGTTACTTTGTGATTAATGTTGGTCCATTGCCAACTAGTTGCTACTGAGTTGATCTATAAGCTCAGAGAGGATCTATTAATGAAGAAGTAACAAGCAAAATACTAAAGTGCTGTTGAACAGATATGTGTATACTGTCCACATCCCTGTTCAGGATGGGTGAGAGAGGAGGGTGTGAGAATAAGCAGTGCGTTCTCACCTTCTCAGTAAAGACAAGAAGAAATACAAACTTCTTGGAGTTTGGCTCCTTTGGCAATTATTTCCCTGCCGTTTACAGACACTGCCTGTAGTACTAGAAGATTCCCACTAGGTGGCACCATGTAATCAGGGTTCCTTTTCATCAGCAGCCTGAAGCCTGCTGGGCCTTTCTGAATCATGAAATAATTTATTGTTCTGTGTTAATTTGGACTTACAGAAAGCTTTCACCTCTCTCTACACTTCTGTGACCTTTTCTATCTTTCTACTTTCCTGTATTTTATTTTGGTTCTTGGGAATCTGGGTCAAAACCTAGGGATAGGCATAGAGTTGATGGCCACCATGGTATTGATAATCATGACAGACGACTTAGAGACACTGATAGTGACCTTTTATTGAAGACTTATGATGTATTTCTAGATATTACTTCCAAGACTCACAGAAACTCTGCAAGGTTGCCTTCGCTTTATGAACAAAGAAACTAAGGTTCAGAGAACTGAAGCAAATTTCCCAAGGATACCCAACAAGGAGGTAAAGAGGCACAGCATGAATCCAAGTTTATGTAATTGCCAAGGTATTAATGATCCTTGGGTCATTCACAAAAGTTGAATATTGGTTGCAATGAGAAAAACAGGAGTCTAGCCTTTGTGAAGTTCGTAATCCAAAAGAGGATATAAAGTAAAAATAAGGGAAATAGAGTAAATTATTTGTAATACAAATGAAAGAAATATGTATATGTATATATATGACATTTATAAGACCATAAATTTATAAGGAGTGTGAGATTGTTGGTAACACTTACTAGGTGTGGAGTCAGGAAGACGTCCTGAAGTCGATTCTTCTCTTGGAGTAGAATTTTTCTGTGGGGACAGTTCTGAAGACAAGAGTGATAAAGGCAGAAAAAAGAGCAGATATTCTTGGGTTTAGCTCTCAAACTCAGGAATCTCTATTGTTAATGGTGGGTTTCTTTTTTTCATGACACTCAGATTTGCTCTATGCCCTTGGAGGCGATATCTCAGCTAGAGCTCTATACGTAGATGAAGAGACCTAAGGAAAACGTTTTGAGGGTTAAGAAACCCAACTATTCCAGATTCTTTATCCTGTAGAACCATAGAACAGCAAGAGCCAGGAATATCATAATACTAAAATAAATGAATGTTTATTTGCTGGAGGCTGGGCATCCCACCTGGTACCTTGCATGCATCACTGAACTTAATCTTAACCCAACTCCATAAAATGTTCATTAAATTAGTATTCCCTCAGAATGTCGAGCTTAGGCAGGTTGTGTAACTCACCAAAGAGCACACAGCTAGTAAGTGATGAGGCTGAGATTTCATCCAATTTGGCAGATCAAAGAACCCAGCTTTTAACCTTTAAATACAGTGCTTCCATTTAACACGCATGCTACATGGCAGTGAGCAAATGCTCTGGCCATCGTAATACTAACTTAATTTTGATTTATAAGATTCAAAGAGCTTTCAAGGATGTTATTGGATTTGAGGCTAGCAGAAATCCAGTGAGAAAGACAGTTTAGATTTTCTTACCACTCCCTTCCCTTCCACTGTCCTTCCTGCCCCTGCTGATGGATACACATGCCTCCAACAAAGAGTTTAGAAACTTAGGTTAAGTGGCAGACACTTGAACCCAAAATTCTCATCCTTAGCCCATTGCCTTTCTCCTCCAATAGCAGCACCCCTTTATAGTAAATAATGTATTATTAGGTAAACTTTCTGCCATTGGCACTGAGAATACATTATCTCCAAGAGTTTCTGTTAAAAGTCAAACAAGCTATATAGGAAAAACTGCATGAATATCAAATAATACATAACGGTATATATTTTAAATTACTTAAAACTCCCTGCAAAGGAAGAAGAATCGGAAATGCTTTTCCAAATATTTTACATGAATGATTTTGGAGACATATGCAGTGATTTACAAAACTATTTGCAATCAACATCTGTGTTTTTTATGTGTTATAAATAGGGAGGTATGTACTTTATTAATACAAACAGAACATAGTAGAGTTTAAAGGTAAGAAAGCTGTTCAGTTACAGCCTGAGATATTACAGTAAGTTTTTATACAGTCCCAATATTTCCAATACCCTCTAAGCTGCAAAATTCTATGAACTCAAGTGAGGGAAGAGTGGTCCAAAGGAAAGGACCCTAGGGTAGTCATCAGTTGGGTGTGGAGTCAACAAAGGAAGTGTATGATGTAGTCACTACACCACTCTGGACCCCAGGCTCCTCGTCTGTAACAGGAGAACCCCAGAAGACCTCTAAGATCCCTATACTTCTAAAGAATACTTCTTAATCTGAATCATATTTTGAGATTTGTGTTATTCAGCAGAAGATCCAGAACTTTTAAGAATGGTCCAGGCTGAGAAGTAGATTGTGGACTTTCCGTTATTCTTTTAAAATTATTTTTTATTATTTATTCATTTTTATGGAGACTTTTTTTTCTTTATTGAAAAACTTAAGACTTGGGCACATCAAATAAAACCAATTTCTGGGGGAGAAAAATCAAAACCCACAACGGAAAAAAAAAAAGTTAACACTGTCTGGGCCACAGCAGAACCCAGAGGATATATTCGTTTAGTTGAAAAATTCTAGGTACTTCCTAAAAATATGGAATGCTTCATGAATTTGCATGTCTTCCTTGTGCAGAGGTGATGCTCATCTTCTTTGTGTTGTTCCAATGTTAATATATGTGCTGCCAAAGCGAGCACCCATTACTCTTTTTTACCAGTGAATTCACAGGTGGTGAAAAAACATTTTGACATGGGAAGCTCAGGTTTTATTTTCAAAGCACCCACCTGGCTGCTTCCACTGCAACAGGCAGGATGGATGTATAGTCTCAGGTCCTTTGCCATTGTTGGTAGAAAAAGTGGTCAAATGCTGTGCAAAGAGGAAATGCTAATGAACACAGATTCACTCCTCTGGTTGACAGTTCCTTTGACTCTGGCCCACAGAGAGGCCATACTGGTTTCTGATGACAGATGGCGCACTTCACCAAAAGATCATCACCACAACCTGACGGTTGGGCGGGAGGCTTACCACTTTATTCCTTCCTTTTAATGGGCTGCAGATGTTCAGTATATATGAATGTGGAATGCGTGAATATCCAAAAAGTGATTATCAAGGCATCGCATTCCTTTGGATGATAAACTTCGTTCAGCACTGAAAGAAGAAAAAGGGTAAATAGAAGAAGGGTGAGAGTGGGGGAGGGGAGAGAAATCTTGAAAAAACTTCCAATGTTTCAAGAAATGTTTGTATTCTCTTGTGGGCCACCTGTAAACTAATTTAAAAATTTGGGTTGCAAATTAGTGCACCAACGAGGTAGGCTTAGGTTTGATTCTGCAGGTAGAAGGAATTGGGTTTTTAGGACCCCTAAGCCACAGCATTGAGCTTGTATGTACCAGACCAAATTCTTGCAGACTTTCAAAGGTATAAATGCTATTCTTAGTTAGAAAAAAAAAAACCTGAAGGATTGTAAATAGAAATTAAAAACTTAGGATTTAATAAACTATGGTTCAAATGTAACACACAACTAACTCCCAGAAAGCAAGGCACAAGTATTTGGTCCCCTGGTTTGAACTGATGGTATCACAGGATGCATCTTTTTATACCTTTCAAGTAATGAATATCTTTGTGTTCATGAAATAGAAGGCGTTGGAATTTTCCTTGGCCTCCTAGCCAAGTTGGCTGCCCCTGTGTTAACCTCCCAGGTATGGTCAACTGTCTAGCTTATGTACCAGTGTCCCCGTTTTATGCTTGAATTCCTCCAAAGATGGAGAACTCACTGTCTCTCATGATGACCCACCTTGGACAGTACTTCTTATTAAATCGTTCTACTTATGTTAAAATTAAATTTGCTTACCCGAAGTTCTTTTTTTTTAATCCATCAACGAAACAATAATTCAAGAAACATTTCATAGTATCTGCTACATGTCAGGCCCTGTTAGTCCTTAGGAATAAAAAGATGAGAAAATTATAAATGATTTAGCTGATCTTCTGGGATTTATAATCCAATTGGGTGGATCTCTCCATTTTTTCCATCCTAATTCTTCTAGAAAATAGGTCATGCTCCTGTGGACAACAGTGGTACTCTACTGTAGGTACGTCAGCATCTCAGTAGAGAAAGGGGCTATAACCTGAAGGGGTCCCTAAGTGACTCTATTTACCACCACAGCCCTGTTTAAGAGTCATTGCTCTAATGCTTTTATATTCCTCCAGAAGTCCAATCTTACTCCAGCAGGATGTCAGATCAAATATCTGAAGAAAACTGTCATATTTCTTTCTTCCCTCCATCATCATTTCTTCCAGTTAAACGTGGCACAGAATTCAAACTATGATTATTTTATTCTGAAGGAATGATGGCCTCAAAAAAAGCTGTTGAGAGCAGCTCTAAAGGCAGAAGAAATCTGTGAGAAGTGAACCTGAATCCATCAGGCCAAAGCAACAGCCGAGGAAGAAGAGAGGTGACCAGCAGGGAGAAGCCTGAGCTTTGTGTGATGCCCTGTAGATGTGGTCTTTCCAGAAGAACATCGTCCACAGTGACCAACCAAAAGTGTGGGGAGCACGGAGAAGAAAAGGCAAGTGGATGCACTTAGTTCCCCATCTTCTTGTCTTCTTTCGTTCTGAGGCACAACAGATTGTTCCTTGATGGGGGTTAGAAACCAGGTAGAAGAAAGCATATTCTGTACCGTGAGCAACTTAAGATTTAGAGACAGCTACAGAGAAGCAGAGAAAGACAGAGAGAGAGGGGGGAAAGAGGAAGAAGAAGAAGAAGAAAAGACAAGCTAAGATAAAAATCATTCCCACTTATATAGCTGGAATGTTTATAATGTAAAGAGACAGCTGCATTAAAGGATTAGGCCCCACTGCCTGATTAACATCATTTGATCTTTTGCTATTGAAAAGACCCTGTGTATTTTCAAAGGCAGTGGGTTTCTTAAATAAAACCAGGAGTCTGGGTTGCAGAAAGCTGTTAAGAACAACTCTTAGTTTAGTAATCTTTTTGTCCTACCTGCTTCATAATCTTCAGTTTCCTTCTTTGTGTTCTTGGGGGAGGGGGCTGCACCTAAATCTGAAAATTGGGGCTCCAGGAAATACGATATGACAAAAATAAGCATGAAAAGTCATGATGACCTAAATCGGTCAAATCAGATTTTTCCCATGAATATCATCCTGGGGAGCTTCTTTTTCTGTTTTGTTCTGAGTTTTTTTTTTTTTTTTTTTTTTTTTTTTTTTTTATCCTTTACTCTCCATTGCCAACCATCACCACACAATTTCAGTGAGAGAGATTAGCACATCATTATACCATACCATTTTCATGTTTTACTTTCTATATTATTAATCTGCTTTTCTTTCTTCCTCCCTCCCTCCCTCCCTCCTTTCCTTCCTTCCTTCCTTCCTTCCTTCCTTCCTTCCTTCCTTCCTTCATTTTTGTAAGTTAAAAGTGAGATCGGAACTCTTAACTGAATTAGATAGAAATTGATTGTGAGGAAGTCAAAATTTTCCATTAGCCAACTTGTGGGAGGAATCAGAGCATCTCCACATCCACACTGTCATCCCAGGGTGGCCGGGCAAAGAGGTGGGAGGGCCTCTGGTCATTTGAGAGGACCAAGCAGTCGTCATAACTAGTTCAGTCTCTGTGGCCCATTCAGCTCTTGGCATAGTTGCCAAGCCAGCCAACAAAGGAACATTGTAATCCTGACAGTTTCCCAGCATTGACTGGACAGGCACAGACCACCAACCAGCTCCCTTCACTCCTACTGTTCACAAGTGAGACCATGAATGGAAAAAAAAAGTCAGTGGCAAAAATCCCACATCCTGCTAAGTTGCTGTGCAGATGCTTTTCTAGCGAGTGAGTCTCCCTCCAGGCTGGTGATGCTCATACCTGTTTCCTTTTTCTTTTTTGTTTGTTTGTGTTTAAGTATATTTAGCTGAAATGGTGATAACGTAATTCTCACTGATGCCTACCAAAAAAATTAGGTTTGACTTTTGATAAATGAGCATATGGCATGCAGTAATATGGAAAATGGGAAGTGTAACAAAAATAAAATGTCATAAATGTAAAGAAGATAAATTGAGGTAGGCTGCTGCTGAGTTAAGAAACTAGTGGTACAAGCCACTGTGAATCTTAAGCAGTTGAATTTGGAGATAGAAGAATATGGTTTTCAGGTATAAAGTGGAATCATTTTAACTCAGTTTTGAATTTTGAATATGTGCCCCAAAGTCTGCCCTTTCTGTAGACAAAGCCAAGGACGTCTCCAGCTCTGGTTTTAAAAATAGCAATCAGTGAAATAAAATTTTTTTAGAACCGTGTAAATTCAAGAGATATATATCATGTATTTATTACTGATTAAAGGTCAGGAAGTATTTTTAACAATTAGATAAAATGATCTTTTAATATGTTTCAATGGTCAATGTGGCATAATTTTATCTATTTAAATTGCCTTTTTAAAAATAAGTACAGATTCCACTCACGGGATGCCATATTTACGTACCAATTTTCAAATATTCAAACAAATGACAGTGTGCTCCATGCTGACGGTGGAGGTAGAATGAGAATATGGTGTGTAAATTGGATCCACAGATTTAGACAGCAATTTAGCAGAATCTTAGTAGTACTCTGTCCCTTTGACTCAGTTGTCCTACTTCTTAAAATATATTTATGTGTTTATATATTACATACGTATGTGAAAAATATTATACTGAAGGCAAAATAAGGCAAATACAGTATTATTCATCAAGGAGAAAATAAAAGCAAAAACAGAAAGAAACAAAGCCCCCAAACAAAATGAAAATAGAGTTACCTTGTTAACCCTAAATAAATCTACATGATAGGATACTATGTAGCTATTAAAAATTGATGTATCCAGGGGCACCTGGGTGGGTCCCTCGGTTCAGCGGCTAAGTGTCCAACTCTTGATTTTAGGTCAGGTCATGAACTCATGGTTCATGGACTAGAGCCCTGCATGAGAGTCCATGCTGACAGCAAGGAGCCTGCTTGGGTTTCTCTCTTCTTTCTCTGCCTCTCCCCTGCTTGGGCATGCTCTTTCTTTCTCTTTCTCTCTTTCTCACACTCAAAAATAAATAAGGAAACTTAAAAAAAATAAAATTGATGTACCCAAAGATTCTTAATAGTATGGGAGAATGCTTATAAATGTTAGGAGAAAAGAGAAGCTGTCATTGAGTGACTGGTTATGGTTTTAGCATAGAAAAGTACAATAAACACTAATGATCGTTGTCTTGTTGGTGGGGTTATGGTTGATTTTTCAATGTACATTTCCACATTTTCAAAATTATTGACAAAGAGCAATGCCATATTTCGGAATCATTAAAAAGTTTATTTTTAAAAAAATTTCTTCTGTTGTAAAAAGACTAATAAAAACCTCTAAATATTCAGCTAAGGGTTATTTTACTTAAAAACAATATAAATGAATCAATACCTCT